GCAAAATTAAAATAAATAAATAAATAAAAATTTAAAAAGAACAAACAAAAAACCCCACCAAAACCATAAAATCAGCTACTTCACTCTGCTCCCCTCTAGAGGTTTCCATCAAGAATGAGACAAATGCCAAGTAAAAACAAAGTGGGTGGAGGGAAGAGGGCACAATAAATGAAAGATGCAATGGATCAGAGTCCTCAGGTAATCAAAATACTTAAAGCCATAAATATATATATATAAAAGAAATAATCTCTGTCCATACCTCAGGACTAGGTGTCACAGGATTATATTGCTATCAATAAAATGTTTTGTACAAATAGCTGTGAAGAATTGCTACACTTTCAGTGTATGCCATGGTCCAATATTGTCTCCTAGAGTAAAAAACTAATTAGATGTTAAACTTTTCAGAGTGTTGTTGTGGATTAGAAGGCTCAATTAAATAATTGCTGGACTCTAGTGTGTTCTCTTACATTACTTTCATCTAGTCTTCCATCTCTCTCTGCTTCCTCAAGGCTAATGCATGGAGTATTAAAAAGATGACAAGTCTCAAATTCAGAGCAGTCTATCTTTGCTAGCATTACAGCAGGCAAAAGTGTGGGGGAAATAAATCAGTTTAGGATCTAACTCAGGAAACCTACCTTCCTAGGTACTGATTTTCATCCAAAAACTTTGTGAACCTGTAGCAGCATTAAAAAATGTATTTTTTTCCAATCTACTTGAAATGAAATCCTTTGCTTTTTCCATATAGCAGCAATTAGAAAGCCCTTACCTCCTGGATCACATTAATTTTGCCTACAACAGAGTTACCTTCTTTTGCTCCATTTTGGCAAGTGCTGACTTCAGCCCCAAATTTAAGTCTGATAAACCCAGAGTGAAGAACTACATGCACTTTTCCCTCCAAATTACCTGCTAGGCAAGTTCCATCCATACAATTACTGACTTTGTTTTGGTCTGTAAGTCCCACAGGTCCTGAGTGTTAGTTATGAAAAAGAACTTCAATCTCAGAGCCATCCTGTACTATCAGGGATTGACACTCCAAAGGCAGTGGCACAACTGTCTCATGAGGGCTGCAGAGCTCTTCCTTAAAGCCCAAACAGCCCTTGCTCAGACAGATTCCCTTCTCAGCTGCTCCCAGCCCTTCTGAAAACCTCTTGGGAATGTGACTATGTTCTCGAGAATGGGATGGTCACCTGTGGTGAAGGTTTCTGGGAGGACCCGTCTCTAAACAGGTCCCATGCGTTTCTGGCAGAGGCTCAGACCTTCCGGGAGCTGATGGCTGGCACTGAGGAATGGGGAAGTCAGTACCTCGTCCTTCCTGCCGAAAGAAAATACCATCATGGCTTCCCCAAGACAGTCAGAAATGGTGCTAAAAAACCCGAGCACTGCTTGCAGGCAAGGGAGTAGCCATAAATCAGAGACGTGCTGCTGAGGGCAGGGCAGGAGCTGCTCAGCACCCTGCAGAGCCCTTCCCCTGTGCCGGCGAGGGGCAGAGCTGTGCTCCCTTCTCCCGTGGCCACCTGTGGCTGGAGGCACAGGGATATGTGTCTGTGACACAGATTTCACTGTGGAAATGCTTCAGCTCCCCCTCTGCAGTGCAGGAACTTGCTGCCTGCAGCAGCAGCACCCAACTGCGTTAGCTGGTCATGGCTTCTTCACCCCGGCTGAAAGCAATAACTAGTTGGCAGCCAGGGAAGCCCAGGAAATAAAAGTGCCAAAGGACAGGCTCATTTCTTTTGCCTCATCTGAGTGGCTGAGAGCAGCTGTCCTTCACATCTCACTGGCTTTGAGCAGTAGAGAATATTTGCAAAGTCACCTTGAACTACTGCTGAGCTCCCAAAATCTGGCCACGCGCTTTTGGTTATGCTGACAAGTGATGAGTGCATCAAGGGCTGTGGATCCATTACAGCTTGGTGAGCCCATTTAAACCATGAATGGAAATGTTACTCTCAGTCTGAGATGGATTTTGCTGAATGTACTGGTTTTCATCTCTGCAATTAGGTATATGCCTATTATCAAAAGTGACAGAATAGAGTTGTAGCCAGGAACCATAACTTGTATAGAAGCACCCAGAACTATAGCCTTTCTTTCTTAAAAATGTTTATGTTGGCAACCCTGGTTTGCAGTAGAATATTTTTATGATTTAGAGAAGCAACACCCAGGCTGTGAACCTGTGTGTTGCATCTGAACTACAGCTAGGCACAGAGCAGCCTGCACCAACAGAGTGAGCCTATCTGACCAGCAGTGTCCACAAAACCCCTCTGTGGAGCTGATGTGTGCACTAATGGCTACATCTGGAAAGCACAGCGTGTGCTTGATCAGAAAAGAACATCTGTACACGTGGAGATGTGGCCAGTAAAGCATCTTCATATGCTGCTGACCGTGGTATTTTGCATGGCTCTTTGAACACTCTCTAGGAACAGTGTTCAGCTGTGGCCCAGAGGCTGACTAAACTGGTTTCAGACAAAGATAATTCTTTGCTACAAAGATCACTAGTGTTACATGTGAGAATCCAAATCTGTGGCATGGTCTTGAACAGCTTTGTACTTCAGCCAACCACTAAAAATGCTCTCAACAATTAATTCCTGATGATGACATGAAATCAGACAGCTTTGTTTATCTGTACCTATAGCCATTTATTTGGTTACCCAGCTATGTAATGACAACAGTCACCACAATTAATAGTACACAAGTATCACTAGTACAATGAGATGATACAGTTCACAGTTTGGAAGCAAGCAGCAGGTAAAATTTTTCTTATGTTTGTGTTGATTCTTAGCACTTCTTTCCTAAATTTGCATATGGTACAGAATTGCTCTTAACAGCAGGTATGCAGGGGAGGTCAAGAAACTTGGCAGGTCCCCATTATTAGAGGACATTTTGGACGGTATTTAACTTTTTCTTTCCATCTCAGTTCTGACTTCTTTTTTTATCTCTCTCTCTCTTACTTCTGGGTATACATGGACCATGCACTTTGGTCACATTATAGAATCTTAGAATCATGGAATACCAGGTTAGAAGAAACTAAAGCTACCATTTTGTCTGGCCGTTCCAAAGGAAAACACCGCCTGGTTGAATTGGTAGGTAGGTGCTCCTGTTGGTAGGTTTTGTGCTGTAGGAATACACAAGATGGAAAAGCTTCACTTACTGTAATATAAAAGCAATATTTGATTGCTACACTATTGTCTTATTCGACAAATTGCTTCCAAGTAGAGCTTTGCATTGCCTCATAAAAAATATTTCTTCTTCCTCCTCTGTTTTAAGGAACTGTCTGGTTCTGTACAGAACATAGATATTATTGCATCTGTAGAAGACTGAGCTCACAAGACAAATAAATAGCCATCTATGCTGATTTAAAAATATACCTCTAGATTTGAGGCTGGCTTTATGTTAAATGAAAGCAACTGCATTGTTAAGCTGTGCTGTGTCATTAAAACTTCATTAATCACTTCCCTGCAGCACATGCCTCTTGTGCTCTCTGGCCATTATCAGCTACATGAATTATTGAAAAAAGAAAACAAGATTATTTTTTTTTCTGTTTTCTCAAATGTGTCAAATGTTTGCATTTAGGGCATGACTACGTTGTCCTCAACTTTCCTATTGAACAGCTGTTTTTAAATACATCCCTTTCAAAGTGAAATTTAACCTGTTCCTAAGAAATACTTGTCAGAAGAGAGTATTTTTCACCTTGAAAAATTAAAATGTAGTGAATAAAGCAGGATTTAGTTTTGAAGTTATGAATTAAGAAAAGCTTGTTTGCAAACTGAACTTCAGTTGCAACAATTAAATAGTATGAAAAAAATCTTTCAAATAACTTCTAAATCAGTTTTCTTCAAAAAAACTTGTATAAAAATGCATCATTGTACCCCACAGGAATTGGTTCATTGGACTAGTGCTACCTGTAGAAATACTTTATACAGATTTAATATCTCTTCCAGCATTTGGATTTGTCTGGGAATCCTTTCAGGCACTGGATTTGCTCCTGCTCAGCTGGTGGCAACCCCTCCATGGTCTTTCCTAGAGCAGGCTCAGACTTTTACTGAGCACTGACATAACTCAATCCCTCCCTCAGGCTGAAGAGAAGTTATTTCTCTGGTGAGTGGTGAGTTCCCAGAGATGTGTGCCCACCATTGATTTTAAGAACCATGCCCTGAGGCTGCACTCCTGCTAGTCTCACCTCCGGTGAGGAGAGAAAATGCAGGCAACAAAATGTCATTCACATTTTTAGGGGAGAGATTTTCTCTGTAAGACTCATAGTCCCAGGCCAGAGTCCTGAAGAACAACTTGTATTTTTGAATACTTACAGTTTGAAGAGATACCAGGATCTGAAGCCCCGCTGGAAAGAAATGGTGTTGAATGTTAGTGCCTTGTAAAGCAAAAATCAAATCACATCTTGTCAATAAGGAAATAAGAGACATCAGTAGACCTGACCCCATCCTTTTGAGATGAAGGGCAGACTTCTAAGACTGCATGGCTCTCCTTGAGACCAAAGCAGAGGAGCACAGGACATGTGGTCCTCAAATGAACAACTGATAGAGAAAATTGCAGGGAACATTTTGTAACTATAGAAAAGGGTTTACCTGTTCCATTTAATTTGGTTGGTGAGTTCACCTAAGAAAGATGAAAAAGGATGTTACACAAAGGTGGCAATGCATTCAAGTTCAGGACTTGGTACTGTGCCCCTGCATCTCACGGTCAGAAGTAAGTGGGGATGGAGGTGGACAAATGAAGAGGACATTTCTTGAATGCTGACTTGGGAGTTAAGTGGGTGGGTACAAGAAACCACATCAGCCAGTGGAGAAGCTGTTCTGCTGGTTAGGAGCAGACCTCTTCCTTGTTACACCCAGGAACAGTCTTTCTGCCCCCTTCACCCTCCCCTCTCAACACCCACAGGAGCCCATCCCCATCAACCCCTGGAGGGGGCCCTTGTGAAGCAGCCAGTGCTGGGTGCCCAGCAGCCCCGCTGAGCCCCCGCCGGCAGTGCTGGGGGCAGGGGGTTGGGTGGGTCACTCACTCTGCAGCTTCTGCAGCACCGAGTCCAGGCCACTTGTGCAGTTACTGGTCAGGAGCAGGTAGTGGTTGATCCTGGTCTGATCCAGCTGCACTACCAGCACGTCCTTCCCACGGGTACTGAAATTCTGACTCGCAATCCTAGGGCACAGCCAGTCATTGCACCAAGGAAAACAACTTAGCATTAGCAAGTTAACCAGCTCCTTTGTTTGGAAGGACTCTACAAAGAGGAGGGGGCTTTGGCCACATGAAGTGTCAGGTGAACAGCTCTCTGATAAGGTTGTGATTGTTAGATATTGTTATTTCTTTGGTGATGCCTTTTGCTTACCAAACCAGGACAGGGACTTTCACATGTTGAAAATGAGACAGGGTTTTGCTAACACCCTTGTGAGAATAGTGCTTTGACCTGCTGCAGGCAGCCTCCTACTGGTCTAGCACAGCCACCGTGGTGATAGAAAGAAAATGCCAAACATATTAAATGGTGTCCAGGCTTCTGGAAAATTACTTTGATCCCACAGGCTAGATTTTGACTTGCAATACAGCTTCAATGGATTGTGCTGTTGCCAGCACAGCCCCTAGACACATGGTGACTCAAAATTATCCATACAACCCAAGTTCAAACTCAGCTTTAACTTGTTCAAGTTACAGAGGTGACATTTTACAATCCAGCTAGATGTTTGAGCTAGCCCTTCAAGTGGCTGGAGAGTTTAGTGCTGCAGCAAAATCTCTTGTGGATCTGTAACTTACTGTTGGCCTGGTTTTGCACCATTGAATTACAGCTGGCATCCAAGTGACAATTAGGAAGTGATAAGTTATAAATTAAATTTATCACTTGCAAGGGGATGGATAATAAATCTGTCTAGCTATTTAGGCTTGTCCACAAAAAGAAGTAAAAAACTGGGGGGAAGTGAGCCAGTTGCCTCTGCAGCCAAAGGCTGTTCACTGGGACTTACATGCAGGTGTCACTAATATGCATCCACGAGAGTGTTGCTGTAAACTGAACCCTATGGGATTCATCTCTAACAAGTGTGTTATTTCTAGTAATAAAAGTCAGCGGTTTTCATCAGAATCCAGCAACCATGTAGCTGCCAAACCTGAAGGAAGCACTGGCATGGCAGGCAGGTGTCTCTCCCTCCTCATAATTGTGTGGACATGGTGCCCTCTGGCTCAGCTGAACAGGGAGCAGCTCCACAGTGTAGTGTGCTGGGACAGGCAGTGGGGTTTGATCCCAGCATTCAACATCATATTTTTTCAAAGAAGAAAACAAGTGTTTTCAGGTGAAACATACCTGTCCTTGGCCAGTTTAAATTCCTACAAATAGGATTTAAAAAATAAATAAATAATAAAATTAGTGTGATTTCAAGAAAGGGTAGGTGGCTGAGAAATAGACATATTCATGAAGAAAAGCAGAATATTGCTACTTGCTTTGAAGAAGAGGAAACTATCTGGTTGCTCTCTCATCTTCTGCAAAGCCCAAAGATGCTGCATAGCCTCATCTCTCCTCTGTTCCATTTCCTTCCTTGCTTGGGCAACCTCTGCCAGCTGTTTTTCCTCATTGGATTGGATGTCACTCAGGATCTTCTTTTCTTTCTCATTTATCTCTGTCCTCATCTTTTCAAACAGCTTTTGCAGCTGAGAAGTCACTCTTTTAGTATTGGTCTAAATGAACAGATAATAAAATGGTGCATTGGCTCAGGAACTCAAAATCCGCTTAGTGTTTAATTAATATTTCTTAATTAGGATTGTGTCTATCCTGTGCATTGGCTTTAGGAGGAAATGGACTATAAGCATTTGCTTAGATATCTGATAAAACAGAAGGTTATGAAAATTAATCATGATATAGTAGATACTATACCAGATGATATTCAGCTAGCAATGTGAGAACTGTATTGGTACACACTGAAAACCCCACTTGTAGAGTGTAATTTTTTTTCTTTCATTTAACAGATGGAAAACTTTGAAAATACATAATAATATGTACTGTGGTGTGCCAGTCCTGCAACCTGGTTTATGCAACCACAATAAATAGTGGAGTCTCTCAGCTGGTTGCTCTTGTGGAGCTGTGCTGTGAGAAAGCTTGGCTTCTGGCTGTTCTTAAAGCAATGTTTTTGGACTACATCTCTCTCTTAATCTGCTTCTATCAGTATATCACTTATTACAGGGAATTTGTGGAGGACAGATGCTCTGAATTAGTGATGATCTGGGTACCAACCTTGAGCTGATGCTCACTTTCCTGAAGCTCTTGTAGGGCAGTAGCTAAAGCGCTTTTACATTCCTGCAGCCACGTCACGGTGTCTGAGAGTTTATCCTAGGAGAAGGAAAGACAGCACTGAACTTCACAGCAGGGCAGCAGCACGGGTAGCTTTAAACCAGACTGGCAGCTTGTGGAGCTGGTGAAGTGACACGGGTGCCTTCTGCCCACTTCCACCAGTGAATCCTGTCATAAACTGTGTTCACTTTCCTCCTCATAAAGACAGGCCATAATGGGAAAACTAGTATGATCTTGAAATCTTTCAAGTCAATGTTTAATTTTTATACCTGTGCTCCTGCCTCCAGTAGTGTTTTCACACCTTGAACACCCATGAATGGCCATGGCAGACACAGCAACTGGATTCCTGTTTCTTTAATAAAGATTATGCCAAAAAGCTGAAGTTTTTAATGAGATAGTTGTCACAGCTGCAAATTTTTAACTTTTTGAAAATTAAAAGACAAATAATCAGACTTGACCAAAGCTCCTTGCACCAAAACCCTTTTATAATTCCTCCTGAAGAGCTGCATTCCTGATTCCCTTGCCTGTCCCAGGGAGTTTAAAAAAAACTGTCAAGAGGAATATGCAGCTGAGATCTCAGTTTACCCCTGGAGATGGCTGCACCACAGACAAAGCAGTGTTGTTCCTTTACCATCTTCAGGGATGAAGGAAATGGCAGCTACCCTACACAGCCCACTTCTGTTTGGCAGCCCTGAATTTTTAATTTTGGGGAGAAAGTTGATTTGTGATACATCTGCACTGCAAAGGATGCTTACTGCTAATTCTCCAAGAGGCTGTGACCTGTCCTGAGGGCCAGAGCAAGCCAGGCCCTTCCTGCCCACACACTGGGCTCCTGCTCGGGCTCTAAACCGAGCCCAGAAATTTCAAATGCAAGGCAATGAGTGAGCACAGCAGATGCATTTTATCCCTTATTCTCAGCTGATTCTGGAGCACTTCAAGGACAGCAGCTGGACTCAAAGGCAGGGACATGGAGGCCCCGTGTCTCGGTGCCCGCGGGGACGGTGGCTTGGGAAAACTTAGGGCAGAGGGAAGAGCCTCGAGTGGGAAAACATGTGTCCCAACCCAGAGTTCAGCAGTGGTGGGGTCCCGCAGGCTCTATGAAGGAGGAGATTTCTTAATCCCTGCAGAAATATGTCTTAATCCCAGCCAGGAACACACTTGTCAGTGGCAGTTGGCAGTTGCCGTGCCCTGCGCTGGCCTCTCCCTCGTGCTCCCGCACACACATCCACGTCAACACAACTGCAAGAAACGCTTTGCTCTGCTCTCCTCCCTCTGCTTAGCCTGCCAGGTGGCTTTGGCAATACAGAGGAAATGAAAAGCAAATTCCAGCAGAATATACCAGTCCCCGCTGGGGTGGACAGGAAATCCCTGCTGCCTGCCTGTCTCTCGCTCCCTGCCCTGTTCCCCAGTAAAGCCTTACTCCACCTCCTGTGGCTTCCCACCTTCCTCCATGTCAAGAATTTGGAACAATCCCAGACTGTGGGGAGAGGAGAGCCCCTTACCAGCTGTTTGTCATGTGCCTCCTTCAGGGTGATGATGCTGTGGCCCCTGTGGCACCCCGCGATGGAGCAGAGCATGCAGATGCACTGCTCCTCGTCCTGGCAGTAGCACTCCAGCAGCCTGCCATGCTCCAGGCATCTCCTCTCCTCTGCTGCACCTGCACCCACCTCCACCAGGATGTGGGAAGCTTTGGTGTTGTGTTTGTCCAGATGGCCCTGGCACAAAGACGCATCACAGGTCAGGCAGGTTTTCACTGCTGGCTGGGGCAAACCCAGGCAGAAGTCACAGAGAAGCACATCCTTCTCCTCTGCAGAGCCCTTGCCGTGTTGTTCTTTGGAAGTGGTGGCCTGGAATGTCTCCACAATGCTGCACAGCTGAAAATTCTTCTGCAGCTCCAGGACAGGCCCCAGATACAGCTTGCACAGCGGGCAGGAGTAAGGGATCTTGGATTGCTGCTGGACACCGAGCGCCTTCTGGATGCACTGCTTGCAGAAGCTGTGACCACAGCTCAGGGACACGGGGTTGCTGAAAATGCCCAAGCAGATGGGACAGCTGAGTTCATCCTCCAGGCTAGCACCCCGTCCATATTCTTCCTTAGCTTTTGCCATGAGTGCAGAAACAGGGCGTTAGCCAGTCTGCGAGAATCGAAACCGTAAGGACGTCCTTGGCATTGTGCCCTGCTTGGAGACACAGCCCAGAGGCTGCAAGTACTTCCTTTCTGCCCCGTGACCACCCTGCAGAGATCCGCTCCCTGTGCTGGGCTCCAGCCACAAACAGCTCATGGCCCCCACGGCAGCTCCTTCCAGATGTTTGCCCTCAGTCGCTGTGCGGTCTCAGGAAGCACCATCACTCCAGGTGTGAGCCCCCAGCATGCTGGTGGGAGCAAGGGAGGGAACGAGATGCACAAGCCTCCTGTAGCCCTCTGCCCTCCCGGAAAAATCCTCCATCCCATGGCAGAGGCAGCCACATAAAAGACAAACCCTGCATGAGAAGAGTACAGGCCTGGCAGGGGTAACCCAGGAATTCCCACTGCTTTGTCTGATTCTTCTCCACACAACTACAGCTGCTGCTCTAAAGGAACAACAGTGAGAACCCAGGGGAAAGTCTGACTGGGACTTATTGAGGCAGGTCCCCTATCTGCAGCCGGCTGAGAAGGGGGTGGGGGCTGGCGAGGGCTCCCAGAAAGGCCCTCCAGGACAGGAATACCCCTGTACCGTGTCACCAGCCTTGCTTACCTTGCTTTGTGCCCCTCGCACCTGAGGCCAGGCAGACCAGCAGCCTCTGCAGGTGCATTTGGGAGACCCAGCTCCACCCACATGGTTTTCCCTATCATTTTGGTCTATAAAATAGAAAAGACAAAACACAGCCACTTTCTTCCAAGACTGAACAAGAATTTATTTCAGCATATGCAAAGCTGTAGTGTCCCTTAAGGTGCCTCGCTGTCCCTGCTGGGGTAGAGAGCTCTGGCCAGGACCCCTTGGTGCAAATACCCTGGCTCTGTCAGAAGGCACCAGAATTGCCATGGAGTTTTGCAAACTGGGTTACTTTAATACATGCAGCCAGTAAAGCTTTTGATACATCTGAGCAGAAAAGCATAACAGTATTTCCATCATGATTGACAAAAGAATGAGAGAGGAGCTCTTGCAGTAAGCAGCAGTGAGCTGTGATATACCCCACAGCAGCCTCTGCCCTCACACAGGTGAGCCATCACAGCAGCCCAAATTCCAATTTCCAACAGGCCAGCTTGGCACAGCCTCCACACAGTTCCAATCCCAATGCCTAGGCCTGGAAATCCAAAACAGCACCTTGTCCCTACGTCACTACAGGAGCTCCAAAGAGCCATGATACACGCCAAAGGTAGCACGGGCAGGATAGCTAGGAGGGATGCTTACTGTCTCTATAAGCCACAGGCTTCCACTAGGATCTCCATCCTTGGAAGATACATTATAAAACGATAGTTGATTTCTTTTGCAGTCTAGCTCTACCTTGACCACTTTGAGGCCTGCAGGAATGTACTTTCGTGTGATCATACGTGTACCTATGAACACAGAAAGGTAACCACCAGACATTTCCAGGTAGCTTTCAAGGTTCTCTTGAATGATTCCAACCTTCCAGCCCTGGGATTGGCCGACGTGCACCTCCCAGAAGTGACAGCCCTCTGAGAAGCTCTGGTTGCTCTCCACATATTTGTAGGAAGCATGTGTTTTGAGTGCACCAAATTGCACAAGATAGGGTCCAGGTGCAGAGACAATGGAACTAGAACGTCCAGAATCTTGAGGGTGTGAGTGAGACAGATGTTCATGAACTATAAAGAAAAAAAAACACATTATGTTTAACAGATAATTGTGCAGATTTAAATACATCCCCATTATTGAAAGCCAGATTTCCCAATCCAATCATTTAACTGAAGCCATCCAATTCAAGTCTAACCCACTGAAGTCAATAAAAGCATGTTAACTGAACCACCTTCTGTACCTCTCTTAGCTGCTCCTTGGTAATTCTAAACCAGGTTAGTATTGACTTTTTTTTCAAGTGTCTTTGTCTTTCTGGTTTTCACTGGGATGGAATTAATACAGATTGGGTGGAGAATGGTTTGAGAACAGCCTTAAGGAGAAAGACCTGGTGGTGCCAGTCAGTGAAAAGCTCAACATGAGCTGGCAATGGGTGCTTGCAGCCCCAAAACCAACCATACCCTGGGCTCCAATAAAACAATCGTGGCCAGCAGGGCCAGGGAGATGATTCTCCCCCTGTACTTGGCTCTTGTGAGACCCCATCTCAAGTACTGTGTCCAGTTTTGGAGCCCCCAACATAAGAGGGATTTGCCCAGAGAAGCTGTGGAAGCCCCATCCCTGGAAGTGTTCCAGGGCAGGTTAGATGGGGCTCTTGAGCAACCCAATCTAGAGCAAGGTGTCCCTGCCCATGCAGAGGAACTGGAACTAGGTGATCTTCAAGGTCCCTTCCAACCCAAACCACTCTACGAATCTCATTTTCTTCCTAATAACTACTACAGGCTGTGCTTTGATTCGTGCTGGAAACTCTGTTGATAAACCAGGCATGTTTCAGTTCCAGCTGAGCAGTGCTTACACAGTGCCATGGACTTTCCTCACCCCACCCTCGAGTAGGCTGGGGGTGCACAAAGAGTTGGGAGGGGACACAGCTGGGACAGCTGACCCCAACTAACCAAAGAGTTACTCCATGCCATACGACTTCACACTCAGCCTGTGAAGTTGGGAAAATAAGGAGTGGGAACATCCAGAGTGATGGTGCCTGTCTTCCCAAGTTATGTGTGATGGAGTCCTGCTTTCCTGGGGGGGGCTGAACACCTGCCTGCCCATTGGATGTAGTGAATTTATTCCTTGTTTCACTTTGCTTGTGTGTGCAGCTTTTGCTTTACCCATTAAACTCTTTATATCTCAATCCACAAGTTTTCTCACTTTTACTCTTCCAGTTCTCTCCCCCATCCCACTGGAGAACTGAGCAAGCAGCTGTCTGGTGCCCTGCTGTTGGCAGGGGTGAAACTAGGACCATTTCCAGCTACAGCAACTCTCAGATTGTAGATTCCCATCACTGCCCTGCAGAGCTTTGTTAGGCAACTTTTAAAACACCCCACTCTGGCCTCTGCTTTCAAGGGTGGTAGAGACGGAGCTCAGGCATGGCCACGACCACCATCTGCTCCTTGGTGTACCCAAGGATGTAGGGCTGTGCATGTTGCATGCTGGTGCAGACACTCTGGACAGAGCCTGTCCCTCTACCTTGGCCCTAGGCTCACTATCAGCAAGGGCTAAGACCCCACCAAGACACCAATGACAAGGCAGCCCTCATTTTTTTTTATTCACTTGGACAAGCCTCCCACTCTGCACAGCACCAGGACTGTAGGTTGATCGTACAAAACATTACACTAAAACACTAGAGGTATTTTCATGGGAAGACTGCAGGTTGATCGTACAAAACATTACAAAACACTAGAGGTATTTTCATGGGAAGACTGGATTGTTTCTCTAATAAGACAAACTCCACCTGCCTCATCACTGCTGTGATGAGTTCTCAGCTTTCCCTGTGCTTTGAATCAAAGAGATACTACAGACAGAAGAGGTGCTGCTATTCTCTTAATCCTCCCACAAGACTTCTCCTTCAACATCCACACCTCTTTATCCAGAGCCCATTTTAACTGTACATCAGGCTGTACATCCCAAAGCCCTGAAACCTGGAAAAAGCATCCTTTTATGTACAGAGATGTGGAAATAATCATACAATGTCAGTGATCAGTTCTTCAAGAGGGACTTGGTTGCTTGATCTCTTATTACAAACCTGTCTGGAATGTCTTTGGTTAGCTTCTCCATATTGCTTGTCACTTAGCACAACGAGCACTTACCAGGTGGTGTTTCAAGTAAGAACTCTATATCTAAGATGAATTTCTTGTAGAGCCTTTTCATACTGACTGCTGTGGATTCATCCAAAATAAAGGGTGGCTTTGGCAGTTCTACATGAACTTCCTTAGGAACTGCCTTGCGTTTCCTAAAACATGCGAAAAAGCAGCAGAAAAGCAGCAAGTCATTGGAAAACCATCATCAAGCCCACCCCTCAGCCAACAACATCACCTGCTCCACACCCAGCCAGGATGGGAGATACAGAAAGCAGCTTCTGTCCTCCCCTCTCTCTGCAGCGTGACCAGGGACTTCCCCCTCTGACCAGTCTTTGCCCAGAACCTCAAATCTCTTCAACATGGTTAGGATGAAGTTCCCTCCATGGACAACATTGGTCCCCAGAGGACTTTGCCACAGACACCTCAGTCCCAGCCTCTGCCAGGACAGCCCCTACATCACCACCTTTGCAGTTCCTGGCCTCAATTCCCCACAGCAGGAGCCATCAACTTTGGAGCCTCCTGACTGCACTGCATGTTTCAGCTCCTGCCCCATTTGCTTCTCACAAGCAGAAGACAATGCAAACTGGAGGACAGCTCAGGATATTGAAGCTCATGCGTCCTTTGCTTGCCCACTCAGGGACCTAAATATTCGGGAACTGGCCTCAGAATGGGTCTTCAGAACACACACACAGGCTACAGAACAAGAAGCCATGTTGTACATGTCCCACATGTACAATGTTGGTTTTTTGGGGCTTCTCCAGGACTCTGACAAAGCCAGGCTCAGCCTGTGCAGGCAGCGTGCCCAGGGGGCAGCCCAGTGAGCCCAGGGAGCCATGGGCCTGCAGTGCACACAGCCTGGGCTAGCAGCCCCCCACCACTGGGAGTGCTCCACTCATCTGGAGCAACGTGCAGTGCAGTAGTAGACCACCCTGGGAAGAGCTTACCTGGCTTGAATTGCTGCAAAAGTCTGTAAAAGACATTTTGAAGGCAGAGTCAGCACAGCACAGGCAAAGGCCAGCCCAAGAGCTCAGCGTCTCAGGGAAGGGAGATGCTCTTAGGTACCTTGGTGAAAAGAAGAGGGTCTTGCTGATCTCTCAGAGCCTCCAACTCCTGTATATCATGGCTGGCTGCATCTTCCTTCTCTTGGTATTTTTGTATCTTGCTCTGAATCTGAGAAAGCTGCTGCTCTTTGTTGTCCCTGAGAGCTCTCAGGAACTCTCCTTTCTTGTTGTCTAGCTGCAGACCCATCTCTTCAAAGAGGCTCTCCAGCTGATTCCTCCGCTGGCTCTCCATAGTCTATTAGGAAAACACTCTCAAAGCTGTCAGGGACTGAATCTTATATTTTCCACACTCACCCTCACTCAAAAAGAGCCTGGTATTACAGGCTAAGAGAAGAAGCTACTCAATGAGAGCCTCTCCATGTGACAAGAAACCAAGATGTCCCACTACTGCAGAAAGGCCAAGTGACAGAGGTGGCCTTCCCCAGCATCTGGCACCTGACCAGAGAAAGATGAAAAAGTACTGCTGAAGACTTTCCACTGGGGATCTCTTACTCTGCACTGCTATTTTCTACAGATACCACAAGGCCTTTGGTCCTTCTGAGGATGGGTGAGGAGAAAGTTTCTTAGCTTCTTACTTCCACCAAGCTTCCTTCAGTGCCCAAATGCAGCTCGTCTGCTACACAGGACACTGCCAACAGGTACAGTTGTGTCTGCATACTGGAAGGGAGGGTTTCCTTTGCCCAGTGCCAGGACATCCAGTCCCACCACTTTTACTGGTGGAGGGAGCCAACTGCCAATTCTGCCTAACCAGAATGAACTAGGGTTTGGAGACTTGCCTTAAATCCCCTGCCCTTTCAAGGCTTTTAGATAGCTATTTGCATGCTGGGAGCCAAACCCAGACACTTTGGGGCAATCTTTTAACCTTGTTGCTACCATCTTCTTAGGCCAACAGGCTAATCATAGAATCATAGAATCTTAGGGGCTGGAAAGGACCTCGAGAGATCATCTAGTCCAACCCCCCTGCCAGAGCAGGGTCACCTAGAATACATCACACAGGAACTCATCCAGGTGGGTTTTGAATGTCTCCAGTGAGGGATTTCTTGCTGTAAGGAGGCCTCAAATCATTATAACATGGTCTGTATTTATTCTGAGTCTGCAAATTAAGTAAGTTTGGGGCAGAAAGCCAGCTGGTACCCACCAATCCAGAGGCATGGACTTAACAGCAACTTTCACACTCCTAGGTCCTTCAGAGTGTAAGAATGTACTACCCAGAGTGATAAGAAAGTTGCTGATCATCCCACCTCAAAGAAGAAACCTAGAAAATATTGGAGAAAGCACCCAGGAACCAGAAAAGCTCCAGAATCCATTATCTGGGGAAGGGCAAAGGAAAACCTTATCTCATCAACTACCAGCACACAACCACACCAAAGTGATCCTTGAACAAACCTCTACTCCATCTTCTTGTTTCAGCAGGTTTGATACGACTTCATGCAGTGCAGCTTTGTGTGTTTTCATGGTTTCCAGAGCCCCACAAAAAGCACTCTATAGAAACAACCAAGGGAGACATCAGGACACCACTGACATACATGCACGAGGTCAGACATTTTGAAGAAAAGAGGTTAAGCAGGACTTGCAAAGAGTCTGTTCACTGCATGCTGTCAGGACTAATCAATACATTAAGGTGTACTGGAAGATTTTATCCCTGAAAAATAAAACAATCACAAGCAGAAGGAGGACTACGGGAAACAGAAAACTACCTGTGTGCAACAGCCACACATAAAGCCACTTAGAGGGCAGACAGCTTCCTTTCTGTTCCTCTGTCATTCATTTTCTTTGCATAAAAGCAGCTCAGGCTGATCTCCTGGCTGGAAAGTGCACTGAGGAGTAAAAGCAAAGACAGTGCACCAGGTCCCACCCCTCCAGCTTCTTGGGATGGGAAGAAAGAGTTTGTGACATCTTTTTTCATATCCTGAGGGGCAGGCCCAGAGGCAACCTAGGGCAAAAGCTACGAACAAAAGCCCAATATGCCATGATGGAGATTTAGCCCCATCCTGAGCCTGCAGACCAGGAGAGGTTTCATCCCTGTGCTGTGGGCAGCTCTCTGTGCTGCACAACCTCATGTCTTCCCTAGAGTGACCTGTGCCAGAGCCACTGTCCCAGCAGCCTCTTACCTGTGCTTGGCCAAAAGCCTCCTCCAAAGCAATGATCTCGTGGTTCTTGTGGCAGCTGGTGACAGAGCAAAGCACACAGATGCAGACCGAGTCAGTCTGGCAGTAGCACTCCAGCAGTTTGCCGTGCTGGGGACATCTCCTCTCAACCAAAAGCTGGGCACCACAGGGCTCTACCAGCATGTGGTCTTTCAGGGGGCTCCTCGTGTTGTGCTTGGTCAGGTGGGCTTGGCACAGGGAGGCCTCACAGTTCAGGCAGGTCTTCACAGCTGGCTGGGGCTCCCCAAGGCAGAAGTCACACAGGATTGCCTCGTTCTGCTGGCCTGAACCTTCACCCTCCTCTTTGCATTGCGCTTCACCCTCTTCCTCCTCTTGGTGAGCAGGAGCATCCAAAAACTTCTGCGCGATGCTGCGGAGCTGGACGTTGGTCTGGAGCTCCATGGTGGGGTCTGCCAGGGCCTGGCACAGCGGGCAGCTGAAAGGGCCCTGCTGGTGTCTGCGCACCTCCTCGATGCACTCCTTGCAGAAGCTGTGACCACAGCTCAGGGACACGGGGTTGCTGTAAATGCCCAGGCAGATGGGACAGGTCAGCTCCTCCTTCAGCCCAGCCACAGGTCCCAGCTCAGCCATGGACTGGCCACGCAGAGCTGCGGGGAAGAAAGAGGAGAGCTCTGGCAGAAATCGAAACAGGAAGGGGTAGCAGAGGAGCCTCTGCTGCTCTGCAGGCAGGGAGCTCCTCCCTCTTGCGAGGAACGTCATCCGTGCCTGGAGCTTGGCCACTGCAGGAGTAACGGGGCAGAGAGTCCACCCTGGACGGGTGTGCCATGGCTCAGCCCTCCTCCAGGAGCTGTAAGAAAGTTCAGTTGAGGGCTGCTCCCTCCTTCCCTCCTTGGAGATGCTAAGTCTTAGACTTGAGTTTCTCCTAGAAACAGAAGGGAATTAAACACTCCTTCATTCCAGAAGCAGGGGAAAGAGGAAGATGGGGACCATTTACTTGTACTGTTCTAAAAGCTCCTCCTTTCTCATTTCTCTTTGTCCCATCAGTCTGAGAAGCTATAGAGACGTTTCTGAGCAGCTGTTGGCACAAAGCACACAGTGTCTCCTAGCAAAAAATGGTCTCCGTGAGCCCCCCACTGAAGAAACCTTGCTGCCTGGGGTGTTTGCAAAGGCTGCTGGCATTGGACTGCTCCGCTTGCTCCTGCATTCCAGAAGACTTGTTAAACAGGTGTCACTTGAACCAAGAGAAACTCCTGATTCACTGTCCAGGCAAGAACTCTGTACTTGGCTAAATGCCCACAGGAATGTGGGCCACCTGCAGGCAGCCTGCACAGCAAAATGCTGCACAGACACAGCCAAACAGACTTTTTATCTCTTCCCTTTGGCCTCACAGCTACACTGATGTTCGGGTTCCCCCAAAGAGGGGATAAATTCAGTAGCAGGGACAGAGCAGAAGCATCACGTAGAGAGCAATACCTAGTTGCCAGATGCATTTGTTTTTCTGTGTAATTTTAAAACACAAGATTATTACAGTGCTCCTTGCATTTGAATGGGTGCAAAAACTCAGCAGAGCAAACCTGGACTTATATTTCCTGGACATAAACTTGAAGGTGAGCTGAACCCCAGGAACGAGGATGCTCGGAGCAGTGTCCCTCCCTCTGCTGCTGTATTGTGCCAGGGAGAGCCCCAGGTCCAAGGGGGATTGACCAGCTTGACTCCTTGGACTGCTGAGTCGCTGCCTGGAGCTGCCTTTCAGTAGCTGGCAGTGATGAATGGAGATGGTGGTGATGACAAAAGTCAGGGCTTTCACCCAAGTGTTTGCCCTTTTAGCAGTGCTGAGCAGAACCCTTCCCCTGCCTCTCTCCAGACCAACAGGCTATTTTGCTGTTTCACTGCAATAAAGACTCAGTGATTTGAAACCAGCAAGTGTGGATACAGATGGTTGCATATGCCAGGCTCCAGGGCAATCTAACACCCTCTCTGTGTCCTCCTCTAGCACGTTCTGCATGGGTAGTCAGCCTGCAGTGGTCTGCGAGCTACTGAGAGCCTGGGGCAACACGTGCACTATGGCAGTGGGTGCAGTTTTCCTCTAGAACCATCGCTTTTGTGAAGGTGGTGAGGAGGTGCCTTCCCTCTGCCCTGCCATGAGCTGAGCGGCAGGGAGGAGAGGGCAGCTCAGCCCTGCTGGGAGCTGCCCTGCTCTCCCCAGCAGTCTGCTGTTCCTCTGGTGCTCAGCCTCTCTCCAGGCAGTCGCTTGCTCGTGGTGAGCAAAGCACAACTGCAGGAGCAGTCCTTGTGGACATCAAGCTGTAAGGGAAGCTGAGACACTTAAAAAGGAGAGGTGGCAGCCCTGGGGACCCACTGTTGAGTGTGGCCTCCTGTGCTTCCGAGGCAGCAGCAGCCTGCAGACGTAAGGAGCTGGAAACAACCTCTCAGAGTCAGCAGGGTGGTGGGGGTTTGTTGGAGGGTTGGTGCTAGAAAAGCCAATGGGGGAAGAATGGTGCCTTCTTACCTGCGGGAGGCTGCTGAGAAACACGAGGGATCCACGTCTGAGTTTGAAAGGACTGAAGGGGAGAGGAGGAGGGAGCAGGGATTACAGGACCCCAAAGCAGCAGCAGCTGAGGAAAGCTCTCCACCAGCTTTTAAAGGCACACAGCAAGCACAGGAGGCAGGAGTTGGGACTAACGAGCTGCTGAACTGATGCTGCGGCCATAGACCCCTCCAGGTTCTAGGTCTGCTTGCAGGATAATACTCCTCCAGGAAGCTGCCTGGGACCGCAGTGCTGGGATGCACCACGGGTCAGGCTGGGTGGAAAAACATCAGCTTTGGGTCTGTCACAGCATCCTGGAGCCGGCCGGGAGCCCCGCGCTCCGGTGCCTCTGCTCCTGTCGGCACCCACCCCAGGCACCAGAAGCCCCTCTTTTTTGGAAAGCAGCAGAGAAATTGGTCTTCCTGACAGATCTCTTTTTACTGGGGGCAGCAGTGGGTTGAGGGGCTGGTTCTGACTCTGTGGCTGGGTCGGGGGACCCTCACTGGGCTCCCCGGCTGTGCTGTGCAGAAGTGGGCAACTACCCAAATCAGTGCAAATTGGCAGCAAAAAATCCACCAGGAGAGCTAAGCACCTTTCAGACCTCCTGGTTTTGGACCGACCACCAGGCAGCACCACCACTTTGCGCTCCAGATCCATTCAGAGCAACACCTCCGACCTGGCCAGCCCTCCCCGGGGCGGTGGCCGGTGTGGGGCTCTGCTGCTGGGAGCTCCCAGGGGCTGCCACCAGCTGCCTGGCCCTTCCATCCCATCCTTTCTGTAGCCTGGATTCCCACGATGACCAGGACACCAGGACAGCCTGTGCTGGGAATCAGTAGCTCAGCCACCTCGCTTGTGGCTCAGAGAGCAGGCTGGCTCCTGGGGAACAGCTCTCCTGGTACTGGGGGTCAATCCAGGTGCCGTCCAGAGCCGTATGGTTGCTGCTGTCCCATCATCTGGAGTCTTTTCCACACTTCTTGCAAGCCAACCATTTGCTCTCTTCCTCCCACTCCAGCAACTTTGAGGTGCATGCCCCACTCTATTTTTAACCCCCCTGGTGCAGGTGATTTTTTCTATGATAGGTCTTGCAGCAGTGGCACCATTCCCAAAGCCTGGAATACAGAGCCCAGGCTTTTCCTGCACGAGTTAAACTGGACAAGTCACACTTAACAGACCAGGATATTCCTCTGTGGGAGCTTCATCCCTGGCAGTGAACCAGGGGGCTCCACCACCCCCCCGGGCCGTGTCCCCACTGTCCCACTGCCAGCCTGGCAGACACATGAGAGCACCTTCTGCAAAGCAAAACACCTCCTGCCACAGCAGGTTGGCACTAATAACTTACAGTATTAGCAGCACAGACTTGCTTCTTTCTTTCTCTTTCCACTTTATAGTATATATGTTATCATTTATTTATAAGCAGATCACTTCACTATTTACAGTACATGAGCATAGAGATTCTACAGTCTTTTTGATGTAAACAAGTAACTCCACGGCAGGGGAGTCTGGAAAAAGAAGCCAGTTCTGAAGTATTTACACAATTTAAAATAGAACTTTTATACCCACCAGATAGATAGAGATAATACATTGAGCGATTTGGTTAAATTATCTATGAAACTATAGAATCTGACAATGTAAAAATACAAGAAAACATTCTCTCGTTTTAGAAGGTAGACAGTTAAATCACACTAGAAATAAATCTCTTTTAAAAAAAATAACAATAACAATAAAGGAAAGGCATAAGAATCCATGCCATCTTTTAAGGTTAAAGTATATTACATAAATAAGGACACAACGGAACAGAACTGGGGAAAAAAATTAAGTGAAATATAAAAAACCACTACCAATTAAAAAAAACAAACCAACAATAGATTAAAAACTTGATTCTTAATCACTGAGGGATCAATTCTGCCACTTTTACTTACTCTGCAAGTAGAAAATTGCAGAGTTAAGTAGTACTTACTCGGCATGAGGAAGGGAGGCAGAATTGGCCCCTAATAATTATCAGCAGTGTCCTTTTACTTAAAAAAAAAAAAAAGACAGAATTTAGCTTTTTTTTTAATATATAAATAACAAAGCAGATGTGCCCCTTATAGGTGAAATTCTTACACCTTTCTCAAGAAATGCATCAGTTTAATCTTTGTCTTTCTCACATGCATACACACACTCCCTCCCCAACTCAGTATTTACCACAGCATCGCTCCCAGCTGGGTGCTGTGGACATGGGCACTGTGGCCAGGCTGCCACTACCACCTCTGACCCCAGGGTGGGTGAGGGAAGAGGAATAAAACCCAAGGCTGCATTTGGCTCTATATTGCTTGAGATTGTTGGGGATGGTCTGTGAGGTTAGAACAGAAAGGCTGTCAGGGCTCAGTTATGAACAACGATGGATCTCATATATCTCAGTATTCAGCACACCTCCAAAAACAAAGTAGAAAAACCCAAACAAAACCCACAAAAAAAAAAAAAAGGAAAAAAAGAAAAAAAAAGGAAAAAAAAAAGTGTTGGTCTGCAATTGCAACACTCCTTTGCAGGGACCAGTGCTGAAATCACACACTCAAGACTGCAACGTGGTGACTGAGCTGCTGCTTCCATAAAGATGTGCAGCCCAGCCAGCTGCGCTGAGTAGGAGTCAGGGTAAAACTTTTCTTTGGGGCAACATTGAACGTAAAACCTGGGATTGTCCTCTGCATTCAACCCAGACACTCAGAAACATTTGCTCCTTCCCATGGAGCCCCAGGGACCTGCTGGATTCCAGCCAGAAACCCTGTACCCACCCTGAACAAGGAGTTTTTCTGGGGCGAATCTGTGCAAAAAAAGTTAAGGGGCTTTTTTATCATGACACTCTTCACATTCAGCCTTTCCCCACTCTACCAGTGGGAAACTACTAGGGGACATGCTATAGTTATATGTTTTTTAAAAAATAAATCTCCTCCTTACTTATTGCCTACCATACTACACCCTTTTGCTCCCAGTTGCTCTTTGAAGTAGCGCTCCCCCCCGCCTGCAGCCGCCTGTGAGGAGGGCAGCTTCCCCGGGGTGCCAGGGTTCCCTTTTTGGAGTGCCCAGCTTGTGCTGCACTCATGCCAGGGCACCGGCAGCGATGCCACGGGCTGAGTGGGACATAAAGCTAATCCTTGGAGGGGACAACCCCCACTCCTTGGCCCTGGAAGCTCCTGCAAGATGCTGGGTGCCTCTGGCTTCCCCAGCAGCGGAAAAAAAGAAAAAAAAAGGAAAAAAAAAAGTGTTGGTCTGCAATTGCAACACTCCTTTGCAGGGACCAGTGCTGAAATCACACACTCAAGACTGCAACGTGGTGACTGAGCTGCTGCTTCCATAAAGATGTGCAGCCCAGCCAGCTGCGCTGAGTAGGAGTCAGGGTAAAACTTTTCTTTGGGGCAACATTGAACGTAAAACCTGGGATTGTCCTCTGCATTCAACCCAGACACTCAGAAACATTTGCTCCTTCCCATGGAGCCCCAGGGACCTGCTGGATTCCAGCCAGAAACCCTGTACCCACCCTGAACAAGGAGTTTTTCTGGGGCGAATCTGTGCAAAAAAAGTTAAGGGGCTTTTTTATCATGACACTCTTCACATTCAGCCTTTCCCCACTCTACCAGTGGGAAACTACTAGGGGACATGCTATAGTTATATGTTTTTTAAAAAATAAATCTCCTCCTTACTTATTGCCTACCATACTACACCCTTTTGCTCCCAGTTGCTCTTTGAAGTAGCGCTCCCACCCGCCTGCAGCCGCCTGTGAGGAGGGCAGCTTCCCCGGGGTGCCAGGGTTCCCTTTTTGGAGTGCCCAGCTTGTGCTGCACTCATGCCAGGGCACCGGCAGCGATGCCACGGGCTGAGTGGGACATAAAGCTAATCCTTGGAGGGGACAACCCCCACTCCTTGGCCCTGGAAGCTCCTGCAAGATGCTGGGTGCCTCTGGCTTCCCCAGCAGCGCAGCTGCCTGTCCCGGGCATCACTTTGCTCCTGCCCCACTTCCCTCTTAGCATCCAAAATAATCACAGGCCTTAAGGCAGCAAGTTCTCACCTGCCCCTTGTGCCCAAGCCCTCCTTCCTGCCCCTTTTCAGACTCAAGCACTGTGAGCTAAAGACACCTTTATATAAAAAAAATTAAAAATAAAATCAAGTGGAAACTTACTTTTCACTACAAAACCTGCGTGAGGGTTTCTAAACCCTGCAGACCTGTGCTCCTTGAGCTGAACACCCTCCACTGTCACCTAGTCCTAAAAAACAGGGGAAGCCTGCAGGACAGGCAGCACACAGCCCCTGGGACAGCCAGCACACAGCAGAGAGCTGCCCCAGCCACAGTTGTGCCTTCTGCTCCTTGCACACCTCTTGCCCACAGTGCATAAGTCCTGGAGAAATTTATCAGCGTGGGAAGGAAAACAAACTATTCCAATTTAACAGATTAAAAAAACCCACAAAACAAAATAAAAACACACCCAAACAAACAAACAAACTCAAACAAACAGAAAAAAACCACAAAAACCAAACCAAAAACCCCAACCCCACTTAGAGGCTTCAGGCACCACGAAGACCACTTATTGCATCTCTTTCTACCCTACCGGTGCAGTACTGATCGGCTGTGTGCAGGACAAGCCCTCCCCTTCTCGAGCACTGACCTTGACATTCAGAGGCTGGGACAGGAGCTGTGGGCTGACCTGGGGCACCCAGCCCCAGGGAAACCATGCAAAATTTGTATCTGGGTACTCCAAAATGAATGCTTGGGAAATGACTGAATGATGATGCCCCAGGAGAGGGTTCCCCTGGCCCTGGAGCCCCCAGCTCTGCACTAACACTTCCCCTCCACCATGCTTGATGCATCCCCAGCAGGGCCCTGCCGTGGGGGCTCAGTGCCCCTGGCTGAGCAGGAAATGGCAGAATTCCACTTACTTTTCTTTTCTTTCTTTTTTTTTTTTTTTGTAGGGTTTTTTTTTTTGTCATTTTTTTGGATTGATTGTTTTCTGAAAAACATCAGCACAGCACAGGACAGTACTACCCACCCTAAATGTGTCGCTATATACATTCTACGTAAGCTCTATAGCAATCACATGTAAACATCATCGTTGTGAGGAAATACTAGGACAGAAAAAGGCAAAGCTACAATGAGGCAATTGCCAATAGCAGATGCTCAGTCTCGGCCAGAGCTACTCGTGTTTGCTAAGGTGGGATGAAGAAGTGGGGGGAGCTTGTGGCAGGAGAGTCGCCGAACCTTGCTGCTGAGACTGAAACGGCACAAGGGCTGCTCCCTGACACTGATCCTCCCCGGCGGCAGGTTGGGGACCCACAGTTCAAACCCCTCAGTGGCCTGTGGGCCCTCACACGACTGGGCTGGTTGTCATCAGAACCACAGCTTCCCCAAAAGTGGGCAGAGCAGCTGCAAACACAGCCCCGGAGCCAAGGGCCACCCCGGCAGCACTTGGGCTCTTGGCATCACCTCTCGTGCAATTTTGGAGGCATTGGTCATACACCCTGCAAGACAAAATAGTACCCACACCAGGGAAATGAGAAGAAAACCCTTAAGTCATGCTGAGGGAAGAACCCAGGAGACTCTAATCTATCTATTGGCAGAGTTAAGGCTATAATATTCTATCTACATAAGATGGCTGAATCCCTAGTGGTCTCTGGGTCTGAAATACAAATGGAGACGATGGCAATGGCTTGAGGAGCAGCAAGATTCCCACTCCCTTGGGAAAACAGTGTTAGCTCACTGTGGGGTTTGCTCCAGCTGGTGGTGGGCTGCCTCCCCATTCCACCTCACCTGGAGATGGAGGGCAAGTTTGCAAGCAGGTTTCAGGGGGGAGCGCTGCTTGAGCATGCCTTCAGTCCAGCGCTGCCCTCGGGGCCCTTGGCCAGAGGCAGAGCATGCAAGCATGCCGTGGGGTGCCAGCAGGCATGGGGGACATGTCCTGGGTACCAATGGGTGCTGCGGCAGCGTATGGCTTATCAGGCACTGGGCAGAGCATGGGCAGCGTGCTGGGTGAGGCAGATGTTCAGCTCGGCTGCCGTGCCCCCTCCCACCTTGCTGCCTCTCTGGATTTTGGGCTGGCTGACAGGCAGGGATCTCAGATGGGTCTTCTTGCCCCACTTGCTTTGCAGGGGGTGGAAGCGAGCAGGGAGCAAGCTGCTCGATCCCGGCTGACCTCCCAGACACCCAGGGACCTGGAGATGCCCATCCCCTAGAGGGTGCCAACAGGACCCAGTGGATTAAGCCTGGCTGGCTCAGGCCCCCCAGCCCCTCTCTGCAGGCCCCAAAGGCAGCAGAGGGTTGGAGAAGTGCTGGCTGCCAAGCATCAATCCTGCAGCCCCCTGCCACCACTCTCCTTCACTCCTGCAAAGCTGCCTGGCCCCACAGCAAGAACAGAGTGGGGCTTGCGTGTCCCATGGCCTGCCAGCTCTCTACACCAGGACCAAGCTCAGCATCTGGGTGCAGTGACCCAGCCAGGCTCAGAGCCGGGGGGCTCAGACCATGTGAGAAAGAAGAATGGCTTTGACAGCAAAGTGGGTGACCCCGTTGTAACTGCTGAGCACCCCAGTTTGCCAGAGGGGGAGGCAGGTGCCTCCGAGGCTGACAGGTGAACACCAGCTCCGTGACTCCTCTGACCCCCATTTGCTGAGTGGCAAATGCCTCATTACAGTGCATAGTTAAAAATCAAGGAAGCGGTACAATAAATCTGAATTACAGTACATCTGAGCCATAAATACATTTTTTTTAAGTATATACTTTTTTTTTCTCTCTCTCTTCTATTAAAAATTAGTTTATAATCCTGATTCTATTCACAATTAACAATTTCATCATCACACACTACAGACAAAAAAAATGTTATGGTGAACACAGCTGCAACTCCACGGCGGGAGCACGGGGCTGGGAGGGGGGGACAGGACTGGGGAGAGGGGCCGAGGGGCTCCTAGGCTCACCCTAAAACAACCAGTCAGAAGCGGGGGGACTAACGTGTGGCAGTGAGACATCAACACCATGGGGACTCACAGACAGAAGCAGCTTTGTTCAATGTAAACATCGATTGGAAGGGACAGCGGTCTCTCTCGCGCGGCCGTGCTCGTGCTCTCGCTCTCTCGCTCTCTCTCGCTTTCCATAGACTGAATAATTTCTTTGAAAACGTAAACATTTTGGAAGTGCCTTGACTGAGGTATTGAGGTATTCCTCCAAGGTTAAGGCTGTTACCGATGCAGGCTCAGCTGGGCCTCCTGCAGCAAGCTGTCGAAATCCATGGTCTCGTACTTGCTTTTCACTGGAGCTGGGGAGGACTCCTCTGAGCTGCAATCTGGGAATGGCAGGGACACAAGGCAGTCAGGGGGCAGGGCACAAGCACACTCACTGCCTGGCAGGGAGGGAAACTGAGGCACAGCGGGGCACTGCTCACTCCCTCGCCACCGCCGTGCTGCACCCCGCGGTCGCACAGCCAGCCTGGGCAGGGAGGTGGTGGCGAAAGGGAACAGGGACAGTGCTTTCTGTCCCCCTGTGACAAGGAGCTGTTGGGCAGAGGGGCTGTGGCAGGGCCCAGCCTGGCAGGTCACACACTACAGGCATCTGTTTCCAAATCTGCAGATGCAGCTGACTGGGGGAGGGAGGTGCCTGCCAGCTGCTCCCCTGCCCTCCAAACAGAGCCCCGGCAAAGCCCGGTGAGTTCAGCAAATGCCAGAAACAAGGCTGCCTAATTTAACAGCAGCTCAGCCCCTTTGGGTCTGTAGCTGTGAATGAGGCATGATTGGCACAGTTGCATTTCACCTCTGCCTGCAGGCTCCTCATCTCATCCTGTATGAGGGTGAGCTGGATTTTAGGGAACAAACCAGGCTGTCCAGTAAGGGAGTGAGTGCTGACCTTGCAGCAGTCTGCAGGTGAGGAGCACTTGGGGGGACTCTCCTGTGCAGGGGGGCAACTCTGGGCCCCCTCCCTACAGCCCTGCACAGCCACATGCCAACACCTTCACAGGGTGCTACCTGTTTTCTATCTTCTCCATGCCCAAAATAAAAAGCCCTGGAATTTATTTAGAGGAACAACAGGCATTTGTGCTCACAACCAAAGTCAGAGAGATTGCTGCTCTGAGCAGACAACATATTGAAGGGTGCTAAAAGATTGGGCAGTACTTGTGTCAGACTGGGCATCTAGAAATAAATGAAGGTGTAGGGCTTTGTTTTCTGGGCCTCTAGTATCCTTCATGAAGTGAGACACTAGAACCTCTTCATCCCGTGCAGAGGGTACAGAAATAAATGCCTGGTGTTCATGAAACACCTGGAGATCACAGGAACAAGGGCTGAGTGAAGCCTGGGTCACATTTCTCTTGCAGGACTAGCACAGAGTTTCACTCCTGCCCCTCAGCTCAGGCTGCAGCCCTGCTGCCATAGAGGGACAAGGTCACCAAGTGAGGCAGGAGGTCTTGCAGAAACCCACACAGCACAGGAAGAGGTGATGGGATCACAGCACATTTCACTGCTGTCGTTTTGGCTCAAAAGTGCATGTGCAGCATGGTGAGTCTGGCAGCAGAGCAGCAAACCACCCAGATCACCTCTCAGTGAGATGTTGCTGACTGTTTTCTCTAATAACTGGGAAGTGACTTCTCTGCTAGAAAGGGTCCAGCACTGTGCAGAAATGCAGCAGAGACAGGACGGGTTGTGGTCAGTTGAGACCCAGCAGCCCCAAGTTATGATGTGACATTTTGCAGCTAACACACTCTGGGTCCTCATGGCAGTTACTTTTCTTCTCTCCCCCCAGTTTCCCAAGCCATCTGAGTGAGCTCAGAGCAGCAACATGAGCCATAGCAAAGCCAGGGGGCTTTTCCTGCAGGCTCTGAATAGGTTTAGGATCCTTGGTTGTGGTCAGTTGAGACCCAGCAGCCCCAAGTTATGATGTGACATTTTGCAGCTAACACACTCTGGGTCCTCATGGCAGTTACTTTTCTTCTCTCCCCCCAGTTTCCCAAGCCATCTGAGTGAGCTCAGAGCAGCAACATGAGCCATAGCAAAGCCAGGGGGCTTTTCCTGCAGGCTCTGAATAGGTTTAGGATCCTTGTGTACTAGGGTTC